TTATTTAAATTTTTTGATTTTTCAATTTTTCAATTTTCCCACTTGTCAACTTTTCTATTTCACGATCTCTTGATGCTTCGATTTCCCGATGTTTATATTTTTTCCAATTGCTAAATATTTCGATTCTTCGGTTCTTAGTTTTCCGATATTTTGATTTTCCCATTTCTCGATTTTTCGATGTTTTGTTTTCACAACTTCTCGATCTTTTAATGTTTAGTTTTACAATTCTTCAATATTTAGATTTTTCTGGTTTTCAATTTTACGAGATTTTTTGACTTTTGAATTCTCGATTTGTCAATTTTCCGATTTATCGATATGTTTATTTTTTGATTTTTACATTTTCCTCAGTTTTCCGAATTTTCAATTTTTCCATTTTTAAAATTTCGGTTTTTCAATAGGTATTTCACATTTTTGGCGTTTCTAAATTTTGACTTTTCGATTTATCGATCTTACAATTTTTTGATTTTTCGGATTATCGACCTCTTGACTTTTCGACTTTTTGATTTTTCTATATGTTGATGTTCCAATTTCACAATTTTTCGATGTTTCGGTTTCTCAACTACTCGTTCTTTCCATTTTTAATTTTTCAATTGTTCAATTTTCGGATTTTTCTAGTTTTCAAGTTTTCACATTTTTCGAAATTTTCCGATTTTTCGATTTTGACTTTTGGATTTTTGGATTTTCTCATTTCTCGTTTTTTGGTTTTTCACTTCTTCAATTTTTCGATTTATCAGGTTTTTGAATTTTTTGAGATTTTTTGACTTCTCAATTTCTCGATTTGTCAATTTTTCGGTTCTTCAATTCCTCTTCAGTTTTTCGATTTTTTAGATTTTTGATTTATCAATTGATCAATTTTTCAATTTTTGTATTCTTCAATTTGATATTTTAATTTTTTGTTTTCTTAAACTTTAGATTTTTTAATTTCTCGATTTTTCGTTTTTTCATCTTTCAGTAGTTTCATTTTGCAATTTTTCGATTTTTAAATTTTGTATTATTTGTATTTTTAAATTTTTCGATTTTTCAGTTTTACCTATTTTTTTTATTTCTCGATTTAACAAGAGTTCCATGTTTTAATTTTTTGATTTTTTTAACTTAAATTTATCAGTTCTTCAAATTTAAATTTTTCGATTCTTCGAATTGCGATTCTTTTGATTTCGCTAATTTTAGATTTCCCGATTTGGCAATTTTTCGACTAAATTTCTATTTCTCGAACTTTCGATGCTTTTTTTTCCAGTTTTTATGTCAATTTTTCAATTTCTCGATTTCCCAATTTTCCTACATTTCAGTTTTGGGGCCTTACAATTTCCCGATTTTTTAAATTTTCGAAATCTCGAGTTCTCGTTTTTTTAATTTTTCACTTCCTCGATTTTCCAATTTTTTTAAATTTTTTAATATTCTAATTTTTCCATCTCTCGTCTTCTTGGTTTTCATTTTAGGAATTTTTAAATTTTTCGATTCAATGTTTTTATTCTTCGATTTTTCTATTTTCCCATTTTTCGATATTTTGATTTTCCCATTTTTCGCTTTTTCGATCTTTCGCTTTCACAACTTCTCGATCTTTTGATTTTTGGTTTTACATTTTTTCAATTTTTCGATTTTTCTGGTTTTCAATTTTATGAGATTTTTTGACTTTTGAATTCTTGATTTTTCTATTTTCCGATAATTCAATCTTCCGGTATTTCAAATCTTTGGCGTTTCTAAATTTTGACTTTTCGATTCATCGATCTTACAATTTTTTTATTTTTCGACTTATCGACCTCTAGACTTCTGGACTTTTTGATTTTCCTACATTTTGATGTTCCCATTTCACAATTTTTTGATGTTTCGGTTTCTCAACGACTCGATCTTTCCATTTTTAATTTTTCAATTGTTCAATTTTCGGATTTTTCTGGTTTTCAATTTTTCACTTTTTTCGAAATTTTTCGACTTTTCGATTTTTCGATTTACTGATTTCTCGTTTTTTAGTTTTTCAGTTCTTCAGTTTTTCGATTTATCAGGTTTTCGATTTTTCAATTTTTCGAGCTTTTTTGACTTTTCAATTTCTCGATTTGTCAATTATTCAGTTTTTCGATTTTTCAATTTTCTGATTTTTCAATGTTTAAGTTTTTGGCGTTTCTAAACTTTCGACTTTTCAAATCATCAATTTTTCGGTTTTTTGATTTTTTGACTTCTCGACCTCTAGACTTTTCGACTTTTTGATTTTTCTATATTTTGATTTTCCCATTTCCCGATTTTCCGATGTTTCAGTTTCTCAACTTCTCGATTTTTCGAATTTTAATTTTTCAATTCTTCGATTTTTCGATTTTTCTCGTTTTCAATGTTTCAATTTTTCGAGAATTTTGATTTCCTTATTTCTCAATTTTTAATTTATCAGCTCTTCAATTTTTTGATTTTTTTGGTTTTCAATTTTTCAATGACTCAGTTATTCGATTTTTCAGTTTTTCCATTTACTGATTGATCAATTTTTTTGTATTCGTTTCGATGTTTTGATTCCTTAATTTATTGATTTTTTTTCTCTTAAATTTTAGATTTATCGTAATTTTACGTTATTGAATTTTTCAGTTTTTGGGTTTTTAAATTTTTCGATTTTTCAGTTTTATCAATTTTTCGATTTTTCAGTTTTATCAATTTTTCTATTTCCCGATTTATCGAGATTTCAATTTTTCGATTTTTGAATTTTTGGATTTTTTTTATTTAAATTTTTCGATTTTTTAATTTTTCAGTTTTCCCACTTGTCAACTTTTCTATTTCTCGATCTCTTGATGCTTCGATTTTCCGATGTTTATATTTTTTTCCATTTACTGGATATTTCGATTTTTCGGTTCTTAGTTTTTCGTTTTTCGGATTTTCTAGTTTTTATGTCTCTATTTTTTAATTTTTCGATTTGCCAATTTTTCTACATTTCAGTTTTTCTATGTTTTGATTTTTCAATTTTTCGATCCAATTTTCCAATTTTTTAAATTTTCGAAATCTCGATTTCCCGTTTTTTTTTTAATTTTTCAATTTTTCGATATTTTAATTGTAGGTTTTTCAGTTTATTGATTCCTCGATCTCTAGATGTTTCGTTTTCTCAATATTTGGACCTTACGACATTTCGATTTTATAAATTTTCAGTTTTCAAAACTTCGAATTTTTGGTTTTTCGACTTTAATTTTTTTTCGAGTTCGGTTATTCGATTTTCGATTTTTTGATTTTTGGGTTTCGATTTTTCTCTACTTCGATTCTTGGATTTTACGAAATTTCGATTTTTTGTGTTCCATTCTTCATTTTTTCGATATTTTAATTTTTCCATTTCTCAACTTTTCGGTTTTTCGGTGTTTAGAATTTTTCGATTTCTCAGCTAAACATTTTTTTATTTCCGAATTTTTCAATTTTTCTATAGTTTAATTTAAAATTTTTGGGTTTGTCGATTTCTGGATTTTTTGACATTTCGATTTCTCTGTTTCTCGATTTTTCGGCTTTTAGATTTCTCCAATTTTAAGTTTTAAAATTTCGAATTTTCGATTTTTAGGTTTGTCCATATCTCGATTCTTGGATTTTTCGATTATTGAATTTTTGATTTTTCAGTTTTTTTGAATTTTGAATATATTTGGATTTGCATTTCTTCGAATATTTGATGCAACAAATTTTCAATTTTTTTTTGTTGAATTTTCGATTTTCAATTTTTGCATTCTTCAGTTTTTCAATTTCTCTATTTTACTTTCAGATTTTTTGATTTCTCGAGTTTTTAATCCTTCTACTTGCCGATTTTTCGATTTTTGATTTTTCGAATTTTCAATTTTTCAGATTTTTACATTCTTCAGTCTTTAAACTTTTTCAGTTTGTTTAGTTTTCGATTTCTAAAATTTTCAATTCCATTCTTCGGTTTTTCGATTTTTCCATTTCTCGTCTTCTCTGTTTCCAATGTTTAAAATTTTTCGATTTCACAGCTTTTTACACCTAAATTGTGGGAATTTTTCCATTTCTGGATTTTTCAATTTTTCGAATTTTTGACTTTTAGCTTTCGATATATCATTTTCTCTATACTTGGATTCTTGGATTTTCCGATATTTCGAAATTTCGATTGTCGAATTTTCGATTTTTGTTGATTTCTCGAATTTTAATGCTTTCTACTTTTTGATTTTTCGAATTTTCAATTTTTCAATTCCATTCTTCAGTTTTTAGACTTTTCAATTCGTTACTTTTCGCTTTCTCAAAATTTCAATTCCATCTTTCAGTTTTTCGATTTGTCAATTTTTTTTACTTTTCGATTTTTTGATTCCTCGTGTTCTCGATTTTCCAATTTTCGATATTTTGGCTTCCCGGAAAATGTTTCTATTTTTCGAAATTGTTACTTACGTACTGGTTATTACTTCATAGAGGTAAAAATCGAAAATCGCAGAATCAAATTTTTTCATTTTTCAAAGAAGCCGGATTTATTGGGCGTTACTTCAAGGGCGAGGAAAATTCTATCGAAATAACCTCCTTGAATACCTCTAAATTTTCATTTTCTGCTATTTTTTACCGCATCATACTTAAAATCTACTTCAAATTTTGCCTTAATTTTTTTACGGTAATAATATTAATAATAATAATAATAATAATAACTCTGATTGTGTTCGTGAATTACATTTCATTGTTTCATTTTACCACGAAATTTAAAGATATTCTTCTTCAGAAAATCGTAGATTTTCGATAACCGACAACCCCGCCGCGATTCCCCCACATAAAACACACCGCTTCCTTGATTAATCGTCACCATCTTCCTAATACTTAAACCACCATCTCCATTCGCACGCCACTTCTTCTTCCCCGCGCCATTTAAATCGGATCCCCCATTCCGTCCGATTTTTCTCCGCCTTGTTACATCGACGCAAACTAATTAATTTGCGATAAAATCCTCAGATTCGGCCGGAGTTCGGCCGTAATGAACACGCAGGATTACGCCGGAACCATCCATAATCGCATCAATGTTAGCACACCAACTGACAAGTGAAAAACGGAATAAGTAGATTACCAACCTCGTTCGAATACTGCACGGTTTGAAGCGGCAGCCAATGGTAGCCCATGGCACGGTCCCAAATCATCCCTTTGCTCCACACCTCGATTAACAGTCCAGTATTCAAATCGTTTGTTTCGCTGAAAATAGAAACGTTATTAAATAAGGCATGAGAGCGCAATTATTCAACTGATACGAACATCGACGAGCTCGAAAGCGTCGCAGCAATTTAAAATAATTGCTCTTTTTTTTTGTTTTGTTTTAGAGAATACCTGCAAAGGACGCGACTGCATTTTCCGAGAGGGAGAAGAGGAAAAAGGGGAAAGCGTCTTTGATCGGGTGCATTGAGGTGATATTAATTTGGTTTTTCGTTTTGATAAAGCTCTGCGAAAGCTCGGGAGATAATTAATTATTAATAAAGAGCGGATTCTAGGGCAAATGCCGTTTCGTTTCGCTCGATTTTGCGTATTTTTCAATCTTACTGCATATTTACCGCATATTTACCCATTTACAGACCCCGACTCAAGTTGTCTCTTGCTTTTCTAGAAAGAGCTTTCCTGACTCGTAACCACTAGACCATGATAAGAATGCCTTACGCTAATGGTTTTGATTTTGGTCTGGTGGCAGCAACATCGGAGCACTCGTAGCCCCGTTTCGGCCTAAAAATATTATGTTCGCGAATTTTTAATTTACTATTAATAAATATTAGTGAAAATATGAATAAGTAGGATTTGAGTTTTACTTTATCCAAGTTTTCGTTCTTTTCTTTCTGATTTTTCAATTTTACAGTTTCTTGACTTCTAAATTTTTCAATTTTTCGAGTTGTAGTTTTTTAATTTTGCAATTTTTCGATATTACAGTTTCTCATTTTTCGATTTTTCACATTCTCAGTTTTTAATTTTTGTCCTTTTCAATTTTTCGTTTCCACAATTTTTCATGTTCCCGATTTTTATTTTTCAATGTGGCGAATTTTTATTTTTATTTTCTCGATTTATATCACAATTGTCCGTTTTTTCATTTCCTTTATTTTCTGTTTTTTTTTTCTATTTTACAATTTTTCATTTGTTCAATTTTTCAAATTTTCAGGCTTTGAATTTTCAGTTCGTCCATTTTTCAATTTTTAAATTTTTTACTTTGCAGTTTTTGGATTTCCAGTCTTCCGATTTTCCAATTTCTTTAATTTTCAATATTTTTATTTCATAATACATATTTCGATTTTTTTTATTTTTCACTTTTTCGATTCTTAAGATTTGTCAAGTCTTCATTTTGTAATTTTTCGTTTTTTGTTTTTGATTTTTCAATTTTACAATTTCTCGACTTCCAAAATTTTCAATTTTTCGTTCCTTCAATTTTTCGGTTTGCATCAGTTTTTCAGTTTGGCAAGTTTTCAATATTACAGTTTTCCATTTTTTAATTTTTCAGTTTCTCAATTTTTAATTTTTCTCTTTTCCAATTTTTTGTTTCCGATTTTTATTTTTCATTTTTCCGATTTTTTTATTTTCACTTTTTCGATTTTATATCACAATTTTTCGTTTTTTCATTTCCTTTATTTTTTGTTGTTTCTTTCGATTTTACAATTTTTCGTTTATTCAATTTTCCAAAATTTTCTGGATTTTTTCAATTTTTCTTCAACTTTTCAAGTTTAATTTTCACTTTTTACATTTTTCAAGTTTTTATTATACGCTTTTTCGTTTTTTATTTTCGATTTTTCAATTTTACAATTTGTCAATTTTTAATTTTTTCCTTTTTCAATTTTTCTTCCCCTACATTTTTCAACTCCCCGATTTTTATTTTGCATTTTCCCAATTTTTTATTTTTCATTTTCTCGATTTTATATCACAATTTTTTGTTTTTTCATTTCCTTAATTTTTGTTTTTCCTTCGATTTACAATTTTTGACTTATTCAATTTTTCAAATTTTCAGGCTTTGATTTCAATTCCATGATTTTCCACGTTTAAAATTTTTCAACTTGCAGCTTTTGAATTTCCAGTCTAATTCTTCAATTTATTTCATTTTCAATATTTTGATTTTACAATACATATTTCTTTTTTTCTATTTTTCACTTTTTCAAATTTTCGTTTCTTCAAATTTTCATCTTTGATTTTCACTTTTGACATTTTTCAAGTTTTCATTATATGCTTTTTGGTTTTTTTTATTTTTGATTTTTCAATTTTACAGTTTCTTGACTTCTAAATTTTTCAATTTTTCGAGTTGCAGTTTTTTAATTTTGCAATTTTTCGATATTACAGTTTCTCATTTTTCGATTTTTCACATGCTCAGTTTTTAATTTTTGTCATTTTCAATTTTTCGTTTCCTCAATTTTTCAAGTTCTCGATTTTTATTTTTCATTTTCCCGATTTTTTTAATTTTCATTTTCTCGGTTTTATGTCAGAAATTTTCATTTTTTCGATTGCTTTATTTCTTGTTGTTTCTTTCGATTTTTCAATTTTTTCGATTTTACGATTTTTCATTTGTTCAATTTTTCAAATTTTCAGGCTTTGAATTTTCGATTTTTAAATTTTTCACTTTGCAATTTTTGGATTTACAGTCTTCCGATTTTCCAATTTCTTTAATTTTCAATATTTCTCTTTCATAATACATATTTCTTTTTTTTGATTTTTCACTTTTTCGATTTTATATCACAATTTTTCGGTTTTACTTTTCCTTTATTTTTTATTGTTTCTTTCGATTTTACAATTTTTCGTTTATTCAATTTTTCTAATTTTCAGTTTTTTTTCAATTTTGATTTTCACTTTATACATTTTTCAAGTTTTTATTATACTTACACTTTTTCTTTCTTTTATTTTGGATTTCTCAATTTTACAGTTTGTCAACTTCCAAATTTTCCAATTTTTTAATATTACAATTTCTCATTTTTCCATTTTTCACATTCTCGATTTTTAATTTTTTCTTTTTTCAATTTTTCGTCCCCTAAATTTTTTAACTCCCCGATTTTTATTTTGCATTTTTCCGATTTTTTTATTTTTCCTTTTCTCGATTTTATATCACAATTTTTTGTTGTTTCATTTCCTTAATTTTTGTTGTTTCTTTCGATTTTCCAATTTTTCGTTTATTCAATTTTTCAAGTTTTCAGGCCAATAGTCGATTTTCCGTTTTTAAATTTTTCAGTCTGCAGTTTTTGGGTTTCCACCCTTTTCTACTTTTTGGATTTTCCATTATTCGTTAAACTTTAGATTTTTCAAATTTTCGACAGTTTTATACTTCGATTTCTCAATTTTTCGATGTTTTAATTTTTCTTTTTTAAAATTTTTCAATTTTTTTTATTTATCGATTTATCGAATTCAGATGTTTGGATGTTTTGATTGTTCAATTTCTCAATTTATGAGTTTCTCAAGTGTTTTCTATTTCTCGATGTTTCGATTTTTGGATTTCTCGATTTTTCGATTTTCCAGTTTTTCGATGTTTCGATTTATCAGTTATCGGATTTTTCAATTTTTTTAAATTCTGGAGCTTCGATTTGTCGATTTTTCAGTTTTTCGATTTTTATGTTTTAGATTTTCGAATTTTTCTTTTTTGATTCTTTGTTGTTTGGATTTCTCCATTTTTCAATTTTGCGATTTTTCACTTGTTCAATGTTTTAAATTTTAGACTTTTCGATTTCTGGATTTTTTGATTTTCCAGTTCTTCAATATTTCTATTGTCCAATTTTCCAAATTTTGACGTTGCTAAATTTTCAGTTATCCGATTTTTCAATTAATATATTTTTTTCGATTTTCCCGTTTCTCGAATTCGCAGTTTTGATTTTTCAGTTCTTCAATTCTTCGATTTTTGGATTTTTCTGTTGGCTAATTTTTTAATTTTTCAAATTTGGATATTTGTTTCAGTTTTGGGATTTTTCAATATTTCTATTTTTCGACTTTTCGATTTTTTATTTTTTGGATATTCAGTTTTTCGTTTTTTAAACTTTAGATTTTTCAGTTGTCGACTGTTTTATATACTTTTCGAGATTTCAGTTCTTGTGCAGTTTAATGTTTTTTTCTAAATTTTTTATTTTTCGATTTTTCAATTTTTTGGGAACTCGATTTATCGAGATTCGGATGTTTCGATGTTTTAATAATAATAATAATAATAATAATAGTTTATTTACGGAAATATACCATTACAAATCACAACAATAGTTACACTTTACATATTTAAAGCATTCTTCAGCTCCCTCTTAAAAACATTAATTGACACACCACAAAAGTTCAGATCATTATACTCCATCGCCAGTTTAGCCATGCGGCATAACGGAGATTTTTGAGCATATAGTGTGCGATGGAAAGGCACTTGGAGCAAATGAGAACCTCTTGTGGCGCGATTAGGTACATGTAAAGAAAACATATTAAGAATGTCGGAACAATTTACACGGTTATTTAACACATTAAAAACAAAGCACAAATCAAAGTAATGGCGACGACGTTTTGATTGTCTCAGTTTTTGAATTTTTCTATGTTTCGATTTTCCGATTTCTCCATTAATCTATTTTTTGATTTTCCCATTTTCGACTTTGTTTTCCAGAAATTTCAATTTTTCGGTTTCCCAATTTTTGGATATTTCGTTCAATTTTGTGAGTTTTCTCAGTTTTTCGATTCTTCAATTTTGGGATTATTTAGTATTTCGACTTTTGTATTTTTCACGTTCTGGATTTTTCGATTTCTCGACTTTTTACTTTTTGGATTTTCAATTTTTTGTTTTTTGAACTTTCGGTTTTCACAAACTTTCAACTTTTCAATATTTTTAGTTTTCAATTTTTAAAATTTTAGGTTTTTCGTTTTCTGGAGTTTTCAGTTCTAATTTTTCAATTTTTGAAATTTAAAGTTAATTATAAGTTACTTTTTTAAAATACACATTAGAAGAACACGAACAAAAACAGAGTAAGATACGGTAATAAAAATACTGGGTCAAAATATGAGAGTGTAATTTATCGGAGTTCGTGATTCGTATTTTGACAAATCTCTAAATTTTTGGGAAATTTTGCATGACATTAATATTTAAACAGAATGAATATTATTTATACAGTTTAAATATGATAAGTATTAATATGTCATCGTTAAACATAAAACAGTTTTCCTACAAACATGAAGTCATTAAAAACAATTCAATTTGTTTAAACATTGTTCAATTTACACCGAAAATG